CGTAATGTTATAACTTTATTCTCGTAGACCTAATATTATGACTTTATTCTCGTAATATTATGACTTTATTCTCGTAATTTCCCCCCCAAAAAAAGTCTGGCCCTAGTACTCCGTCGTACCAAACAATTATTAACACCATCAGGAAATAAAAGTAAGTCTGAATATCAAACTACATGAACGAAGCTGGCGAGCCTTGAAGCTCCGAGTGGTCTTTGGACAGGATGCAGTTGTGCATGTAAAGGAAGTGTGGAGGGGACGGCAAGTGTGTACGAGAGCTCCTATCATGCTGATACAGCTACGGTAAGCCCAGAGGGCCAAACGTGTATCAGTCAGTCACTGCCTGCTCTACTTAAAGATCAACTGAGTCACACCGTACTCGAGTGAGCTGAAGATGAAAGTAGGAGAGTCTTTAGAGTGCGAGGATGTGGCTATTACCTGGAGGCAGTATGTATCAGTGTAAACCCGCTAAAAGTCAAACCCAGAAAGAAGATTTGTTGGTTCATTTTTAACCAGAATTATGGAGATTAGACGGAAGTTAAAAGGCTCTAAATGAAGATAATGTGGTTCTGTGCTGGATGAGGTCGGACGAAGGTCTAGAAATACAGAATGAATGGAAACTTTATTTTACATTGGTTTGAGATTTGATATATAAAACTAAGTGAGAATTTAAATTGAAGTCACACACCACTACAATCTATTGACTTTAGATTCAATAAAACCTGTAAAACATCACAAACAACAGTCTGATTAATTAAATTAATCAAATCTCTACAGATGCTTCTGTATTGTATAGATGGAAACTTTAAATTAAATTAATTAGAAAGCTGCAGATAAACTTATATAATCAAATGAAATATGAAATATATTTAAATACAGTTTGGTGGAAGCTTTTTTTTCCTTCACTGTAAAACCTGATGAGTTAGTTTAACCTAAACTATTAAACCGATTAACTTAATACAGCATTATAATGTTATAACATATATATAATATAACTTAATACAGCATTATAATGTTATAATATATATATATATATATATTGTAACTTAATACAGCATTATAATGTTTACATTTATTTACATTTATTAAAATGTGTTTTTACAGGATTTACATTGTAGTTTTATGAACAGAGAAGTTAAAGAAGAAACATTATTTGTAATAACTGAGTGTTAAAGTGTCCTGATTCTCTCTGGCTTCAGTCTGTTTTTGAGTTGGTGACATTTTGAGTTCAGAAACATTTTGTCGTTGAGTTTCTGGCCGTTGTTCTTCGGCTCGGAGCCCCACAGGGTCCGTTTGTTTGTCCCCGCGGAGTAAAGCTGTGGACGGGGATCAGTGGAGCCGTGTTGGCACAGGCAGCTGGATCAGAGAGAGGGGATGATGGGAAAAATGCTGCTGTGGGCCATCTGGCTGCTGGACTGTGGTCTCTGTGTGTGGACTCATTAACTGACGGAACCTGGATCAGGTAATCCACTTACTCACATCCTGAGTTAATGCTGTTAATGTACGGCACTGCTTTATCCTGAGATACTTTCACTGGTTTTATTCTCTCTGCTGCCTGATGAAGATTATTATCTGTA